CACCCCTGCCCTCAGAGAGCACCCTGCTGTCCTGACCACTCACAGACGCCCCTCTGTCACCCCTGCCCTCAGAGGGCACCCTGCTGTCCTGACCACTCACAGACGACCCTCTGTCACCCCTGCCCTCAGAGGGCGCCCTGCTCTCCTGACCACTCACAGACGCCCCTCTGTCACCAGGCCTCATGGCCTCCTTGCGGCTAGCACCTGCTTTCTTATAGACAGGTCCTGGCATTTTTTATCAAAGCTGTCTACCACCCTCTTGCAAATTAAACACTTTTCTGATCTTAGACAGGGAGGAGGCAGTTCCCAAGTGTCCAGTGGTTCCACAGGAAGCACAAGATCCAGAACTTACTTGGCTCATGTCAGTCCAGTGCCTGTCATCTCAGCCCTGACTTGCAGTGCACCGTAGTGTTGTTAGCCAGTCACAGAGTGTAGCGTAGTTACACTAGGTGCACCACAACCGTATCAGAGAGCGCTGCACCCCAGGCCAGCCAGCATCGCCCTCCTCCCGCCATGTGTGGGGCCCGGGTCCTCAGACTGCTGCTTTCCTCAGGTGCGCACACTGTGGCATGACCCGAAAAACATCGGCTGGAAAGACTACACTGCATACAGGTGGCATCTGACCCACAGGCCCAAGACCGGCTACATGAGGTGAGAGAGGCCAGAGGCCATGGCTGGTCTCATTAGTGTCCAGCTGTGTTCCCACAGGCATGATTTCCAGTAGGTGGCCATTGTGAATGTTAACCAATACTACTTCTTTCTATCTACATCCTGATTGAACGTAACTTACTAGAAAAATTGTTGAGAAAGAGAAACGTAGGTACATCATAAGATAACTCAGAAGTGTGATGGTCCCTCCCCTCCAGAGGCCCCTGAGGGGAGGCGGCCCCCAGAAACCACCCAGCCCCGCTGCTTTGGAGAGTCAACCCCTACTCATGTCTGACATGTACACGGCTGAGTTAGAATACGTATTTGAATACAATTTCCACAACTTGCAGACCAAAAGAGTTTTGTTCCTTGCTTTAACAGCATTTTTAAGTTGATTACAACAACACATGGGCAATTTAAAATGAAGGAATTTCTCTTGGCTCCGGCGGAATTCCTTTTCTCTTTTGCCCAGCGGTTGAACCCCAGGTTGCAGGTGCCAGGCAGGTGCTCTCCACCGAGTCACAGCCCAGCCCCGGCTGGGTGCTGTGTGCAGCAGTCCTGGGGGTGAGGTGTCCCACCCTCCTCGTGGGGAGCACGGAGACATCACTTCTCATTTGGAGGGGGCTGGGGCTCTCTCCGCACTCTCCCATGTCATGGCTTTCATGTGAGATGAAGGGCCCTGGTGCCATCAGACAGGAGAGCCCTGGCCCCCAGGAGGAGGAGGGAACCTGTTCACCACGGGGGCTGTGCACTGAGGAGGGAATCCATTCACCCGGGGGCTGTGCACTGAGGAGGGAATCCATTCACCACGGGGGCTGTGCACTGAGGAGGGAATCCATTCACCACGGGGGCTGTGCACTGAGGAGGGAACCTGTTCACCACGGGGGCTGTGCACTGAGGAGGGAATCCATTCACCCGGGGGGCTGTGCACTGAGGAGGGAATCCATTCACCACGGGGACTGTGCACTGAGGAGGGAATCCATTCACCATGGGGGCTGTGCACTGAGGAGGGAACCTGTTCACCACGGGGGCTGTGCACTGAGGAGGGAATCCATTCACCCGGGGGCTGTGCACTGAGGAGGGAATCCATTCACCCGGGGGGCTGTGCACTGAGGAGGGAATCCATTCACACGGGGGCTGTGCACTGAGGAGGGAATCCATTCACCACGGGGGCTGTGCACTGAGGAGGGAATCCATTCACCACGGGGACTGTGCACTGAGGAGGGAACCTGTTCCCACGGGGACTGTGCACTGAGGAGGGAATCCATTCACCACGGGGGCTGTGCACTGAGGAGGGAACCTGTTCACCACGGGGACTGTGCACTGAGGAGGGAATCCGTTCACCACGGGGACTGTGCACTGAGGAGGGAATCCATTCACCCGGGGGGCTGTGCACTGAGGAGGGAACCTGTTCACCACGGGGACTGTGCACTGAGAAGGGAATCCATTCACCACAGGGACTGTGCACTGAGAAGGGAATCCGTTCACCACGGGGGCTGTGCACTGAGAAGGGAATCTGTTCACCACGGGGGCTGTGCACTGAGGAGGGAATCTGTTCACCACGGGGACTGTGCACTGAGGAGGGAATCCGTTCACCACGGGGGCTGTGCACTGAGGAGGGAATCTGTTCACCACGGGGGCTGTGCACTGAGGAGGGAATCCGTTCACCACGAGGGCTGTGCACTGAGGAGGGAATCCATTCACCCGGGGGGACTGTGCACTGAGGAGGGAATCCATTCACCACGGGGACTGTGCACTGAGAAGGGAATCCGTTCACCACGGGGGCTGTGCACTGAGGAGGGAATCCATTCACCCGGGGGCTGTGCACTGAGGAGGGAATCTGTTCACCACGGGGACTGTGCACTGAGGAGGGAATCCATTCACCCGGGGGGGGGGGCTGTGCTCTGAGGAGGGAATCTGTTCACCACGGGGACTGTGCACTGAGGAGGGAATCGGTTCACCACGGGGGGCTGTGCTCTGAGGAGGGAACCTGTTCACCACAGGGACTGTGCACTGAGGAGGGAATCTGTTCACCACGGGGACTGTGCACTGAGGAGGGAATCCATTCACCCGGGGGGGGGGGCTGTGCACTGAGGAGGGAATCCGTTCACCCGGGGGGCTGTGCTCTGTGCTCTGGCTCCTGATGGCAGCAAAGGCTGTGTCCCAGGGGCCCCGGGTTGATAATGGCACAATTTGTGATTGGGAGCTTTTGCCTCCCATCATGCTTCAGGTCAGGGGCCAGCGCTCCTAGGGGATGCATGCCCCTGCCCAGGCCACTGAAATCCCGCGTGGTCGTGGGACTCCAGGCACCTCTGTTGGGCACCTGATAGAACCCTTGCCTCAAACATGCAGGACTCCGGCTCACCCCGGAGGGAAGTAGAGCTCTCTTTGTCAGCAGTGGGCTTTGGAGTTCAAGCCATCTTTACCTGCCTGCTTTCAGGGTCCTGGTGCATGAGGGGAAGCAGGTCATGGCCGACTCGGGACCGATCTATGACCACACCTATGCTGGCGGAAGATTGGGTCTCTTTGTCTTCTCTCAGGAGATGGTCTACTTCTCCGACCTCAAGTACGAATGCAGAGGTGCGTGTGCATCGTCCAGGCGGCTCTGTACCGCTGCCTCTTCCCTGTAGACACTGTGGTGGAGGGATAAAACCCAGGCGTAGTGCCCTGGGGCGGGGCTTTGCCTGCTCTCAGCCCTCAGGTTGGCTTTTGTCCCTTTGTTGTTTTAAATTGGATTTGAATGCTTTTGGTAGGACAAACACTTCCAGGCTGGACCCCATTGTGTTAGATCTTGTAGCTTCCTCTGGGGTTCTTACAGTCATTTTAGATTATTATCTTTGCCAACAATTAAAGGGAAGAAGGAAGGTGAAAAGGGGAGAATGGAAGGAAAAGAGAGGTAAGGCAGTTTCTTTTTCATGTATGTCTTGGAGTGTATTTGAATCAAAATACTGTAACCTGAAGGCAGACCTTCACTTCCACTTGGTCTAGCCTACCGCCCCTTTCCTGGGTCAGATAAAGAAGGCTCAGTGGTGACACACTGAGAATAATACATGGAATAAGACAGTGTCGACAAGAAACTTAATTTCTCTGTTCGCTTCTAGTGAAATTTCCTTATCGTTAGGCTAAGATGCTTTTGAAGATATTCTGTGTTTCCATATATCCACCTATCCATCCATCTATTAATTCATCTAAACACCCGTTTTCTATCCACTCACCCATCTATGCATTTACCCATCCATCTACTCATCAAAACACCCACCCATCCACTCATTCTCTCTCTCATCTATCCATCCACCTAACTGCCCATCCTTCTACCCATCTACCCACTTGTTCATTTGCCTGTCCATTCATCACAACACCCATTTGTCCATCAGTCTACCCATTTTCCTTTCTCCCTCCTTCTTTCCTCCCTTCCTTCCTCCCTTCCTTCCTTCCTTCCTTCCTTCCTTCCTTCCTTCCCTCCCTCCTTCCTTCCTTCCTTCCTTCCCTCCTTCCTTCCTTCCTTCCTTCCTTCCTTCTTCCTTCCTTTCTATTTGTGTCATTTTAAAATTAATGATGTTTGAGGGTATAAGTAAAACAAAATAAATCCCATTGTGGTGTAATCCTGATTCTGTTGGTTTCTTTTCTCTTAGATGTCTAGACAATGTGCTGCAAATGGTATTTTCTAGACAAGTCAGCACTTGCAGCTTCTCTCTCTAGTGGCATTTCCTGTTCCTTAATTCTGAGTGTTTTTCCACCTCCTCCATCAACCCGAAGCCCAAGTGCCTGAAGAGGAAGAGCACTGATGAATCCACAAGATGAGCTTCTAACCCACTGCAGGAAGACAGCACTGTGGTACATGACTTCTGTGGAGTGAAAATCGAGCACGATGTTGTACTGCTTTCTTTTGTTTGTTTTAAAAGAATGACGTTTACATATAAAATGTAATTACTTGCTGTATTTATGTGTATATGGAACAGAAGGGAATTTGTGCATAAGCCATTTTCATAAATTAAGCGTGAAAAATATGGCTCCACTATGTTCTGTGCTTAATGTTGTCACCTGGATTAACGTTGTTCTTGGATTAGAGCTGTTCTGCAGTGACACACAAACCTTGCCAGGTCAGTTGTAAAGGAGGCTAAACTCAAGCCAGGCTTGAAATGAGGCCACAGTAATGAGATTGTGGCCCCACAAGCAAGTGATGTAAGACGTTGATAGATTAGGTCAGTACTCCCCTTTTCCTCTTGTCCCCTGGTAGAAGCGCTCTCATACTTGACAGCACTAACGCATTTTCCTGCCAGATGGACCTCACGAGGCTCCACCTGTAGGCCTGGGTTTGAGCAGGAGGCTCCTGCAGGGCCCCACAGATCACAGAAGGGCAGATCAACTTCCTGTTCTAGGCTTCTACTTCCTGTTCTTGGTCTATCTCCTGTTCTAGGCTTAGAAACTGCAGGACACTAGCTGTTACCTAGCTTGGTGGCACATCTCATTAAGGTTCCAGGCATAAGTGTTTGTTCGTATTTATTAAATGAATACAGAGTGCAGCTCTCTACTCACCAGTAACTTATTTGAAACTAATGCCAAATAACACATATATGGTAAAGTTTCTGGAATTAAACGTCTAATAAGGATGTAATAATATGAAGACACAGTTACAGAAATATCTGCGGGTTGAATATAAGGCTTTATGATGTTTGAAAAAAGTGTGCTGTAAGATATAATGAGGTAAATAAATAGTAATGAAGAATTTGTAATGGAACCTTAATATATACTGTTGCCAGTGATTTTAATTCAGTATTTTTTTACCGTTACCTATCTGCTGTGTATAGGAATTTTTTGTTTGAATGCTGCAGAAAAGCCAGCATTTGATTATTCTGAACATATGCAATGATCAATCACATGGTAGGAGACATGGTTTGAATTTTTTAAAGGTGAGTGGTCTCTTGGAAGGAGATAGTAGCGTCTCCCACTCCACACGTGGAGTTCAGTAGATGTTTGTCTGATACGTATGGGGAAGATCTTTCTCTTCTGTCTGGTCAGTGGTGGATACATTTCTGTGTCAAATAGAATCCATAGCTTCGGTCTGAATTTACAATTTACATGACACTGTTGCCTTCATTGCTTCCTTTGAGGTTGATTTTCTTTGTGTTTTGTTTTGATGACATATTTTTTTCCTTTCATGTGGAACTTTATTCCCAAGGCCAGCACAGGGTTGGGGGCTGCATTAACTGTGACATCCATGAAGAATATGCAGGCTTCTCCTTGGGGTTGTGTAGGTGCAATGATGTGAATACTGAGAATGTACCATGAGTTTTGTAAATTATTTATGTCCTTTAAAGAATACAAGCTTCTCATATAGGTTAATGAAACTTTGTTTTTGCCAAAGATTGTAAATATTTATTTATTTGTTTACTTGGTAAAAATTTCACACCAAAAAACCCTTACCTTTAGCTAGCACCTCATTTTTATACTTAAGAAATAACAAGAAATAAATGATAAAAAAAAAAGGTTTCTATAAATGAATCTCTTTCCCTTTTTTAAAAAGAATGAGCCAGGGCCTCTGCTGGGCGGAAGGGAGAGGAATCCGTGCAGGGAGGACAGAAAGGCATCTGCGTTCTGCCAGGTGAGGGCGTGGGCGCAGGTCTCCCAGCGAGCCAGCAGCCTGGTTCACAGGGACCGGAGCTGGGCCGGACCGGCCCTCGGCCACACACCCGCTGCCTGTTCTCCAGCTGCCAGAGCAGGCGTGGCAGGAGACACACGAGGCCCCTGAGATGGACTCCAAACGCTCACCAGAAGCAAGAGATGAGCGGAAGACCACCAGGTATGGTTTAATCTTCCAGGTGCACAGACAGGGTCGGGGGTCATGAGGCAATAGCCTTGGGGTTCCCTCAGCCGCCCCAGCTTGCACGGTCTAGGGGGTTCAGAGCGTGGGGTGCTGTTGGAGCTGGGCAGGAACTAAAAGAGAAAGGCAGGACAGGAATGGGAGGGAGAGACAGAGACCGATCGGAGGCTGAATACGGGTCCTGGGCTGCAGTGAGCTGAGAGACTCCAGAGAGGCAGTCGGAGGTGGCAGAGTGAGCCAGAGGCTGTGCAAGAGATGTGTCGGAGTTCACAACCAGGAAGGAAATGCCAGGTGCTCATACGCAGAGGAGGACTTCACAAGGCTCAAAAGCTTTTATTTTTATAAATTTACATTTCCTCTTTGTGTTTGAAGCTCACTTTTCTGAGATACAATAGGATACACATTACTTTTCTTCTTTTACAAAACGGGAGATTCCTTGGGGTGGAGTTCTGAGGAGTGAGCAGAGCTGGAAAGGCAGGGGGCAGATGGGCCGGAAAGCAGGAAGGGCCAGCCCGAGGCTGCACAATGAGTGTGCACAGGGCTGCACAATGTGTGCCCGAGGCTGCACAATGAGTGTGCACAGGGCTGCACGACCCGTGTGCCGGCTGCACAATGAGTGTGCACAGGACTGCACAATGAGCATGCACAGGGCTGCACAATGAGTGTGCACAGGGCTGCACAACCCGTGTGCCCGAGGCTGCACAATGAGCGTGCACAGGTCTGCACGACCCGTGTGCCCGAGGCTGCACAATGAGTGTGCACAGGGCTGCACAATGAGCGTGCCCGAGGCTGCACAATGAGTGTGCCTGAGGCTGCACAATGAGCGTGCACAGGACTGCACAATGAGCATGCACAGGGCTGCACAATGAGTGTGCACAGGGCTGCACAACCTGTGTGCCCGAGGCTGCACAATGAGTGTGCACAGGGCTGCATGAGGTTTGTCCGAAGCTGCACACGCATGTGCCCGCGGCTGCCCCGTGCGTGTGCTGTGGCTGCCCCGTGCGTGTGCTGCGGCGGCATACACGTGACTGCAATTGCACACGCGTGTGCCAGCAGTTGCCCCATGCATGTGCCGTGGCTCCACACGCATGTGCCCACAGCTGCCCCATGCGTGTGCGGTGGCTGCACACACGTGTGCCCGCGGCTGCCCCATGCGTGTGCCCACAGCTGCCCCATGTGTGTGCAGCGGCTGCCCCATGCTTGCACGCAGCGTTGGAAGAAGCACCGCTGCCCACCCTGCCACGGGGCCGCAGGGTGGAGAGCGGGCCGGCCGGCCAGGGCGAGGCCTCCCGGACCCCTGCGTGGGCCTGCCGACCTGACTGCTGATCCCACCAGGGCTTCTTAGCGGGAGCCCTGACCTCAGAATACCCCAAAGCATTGCAAGGGGCAGGTTGCTTCTGGGGAACACAGAGTGTGTGTTTGTGTGCCGTGCACACGTGTGTGCATGTAGGTGTAAACTCGGTGATGTGATAGACTGTGTACTTTACATTTAAAGTAGTTTCTCTGTAAACTACTTGTTTTCTGTGGATCTCTAGGAAGTCAAAGTTCAGAGCAGTTGAGTGACTTTCTGAGGTCGCACAGCCCATACATGGCTGGGGCCACAAGAATTCTGGACGCGGTGGCTGGTGCCATTGAGGGTTTTACCTTGTATTTCCATAACTGTCCTGAAAAAGGCATGCTGGGGATAAGCCAAGGGGTCATCTGGAAATTCCTTCTGAGGAATTCCGTCTCTGTGCCAGTTTGGAATTTGGAAGCTACTCGATCTGGCAGGACAATCATGCCTTTCCTTGATAGGAAATGAGGGATGTGACCGTCCAAACTGGCTCTGGATTCGCGGCACTGCTGGCCGGGGCTTTGAGCAGCAGCTTTGCTGATGGCCTCGCGCCCCGCCCCTCCCCCGCCCCGCTTCCCCGAGGCACCATGGCCCCAGGGGCAGTACGCCCTCCTCTCCTCGCCTCACCCCAAGGTGTCTGTGTGGGCCTGGGTCTGGGACGAGGGGCTGGCCAGGGTGGGTCTCGAGAAGAGTCTCGTGCAAGACTGGCTCCTCCCATGTGAGGACCCCTGGGTGCTTGTGCTTGGTGGAGCGCAGGGTGGGCGGACACCCGTGAAAGCCTGTGGGGTGTTGAAAGACCCCGTGCTGGAGCTCTGGGAGCCCGGGGTCGACAAGCAGGCGGAGGAGCAGGGCTGGGCGCTGCCACCAGCGATACTCGCAGGAAGGTTTGTCCTGACTCTTGCCTCGAGGACCTTGGGAAGTCCTGGAGGATGAATGATCAGACCGCTGCCCCGGCCTCTGAGCTCCTCTCGGTCTGACTCGGCCACTGCTGGCTGTGTCTCCCTGGGACACAGCGCATTGGCCTGACAGATACGGTGAGTATTACGTGATATTAAGCCCTATGTACACGCAATTCCTTATCAGAGACACTTTCCACCTGGAGTAGAGCACAAATGAAATGAGAGCGGACGGAGCTAACGGGTGCGCGTGACCAAGCTTGGGCTGGCCCTGGCTGTCACAGCCGCCAGACAAGGAGCCTCCGGAGGATCGGGCTGGGAAGCGCTGAGCGGAGGGAGGCTGGGTAGGAACAAAATGGCCTGGGGTGCAGGGGATGGAGGAAGTGGAGTCCATGGTGGCCATTTCCAAGTAGGTGCTCAGGCGCCTCCTTCCTCCTACCCTCAGCTGACAGCCGCTCAGTCCTCGGGGAAGCGTGAGGAAGCCCAAGAGTGAGACCCCCAGGAAGGACCAGCAAAGCCACGCCGCGGGCTCCAGGCCTGGCAGCCCGCGTCCTCCCGCAGGCCCTGCTCCAGGCCTGGCAGCCCACGTCCTCCCACAGGCCCTGCACCAGGCCTGGCAGCCCGCATCCTCCCGCAGGCCCTGCCACCCTCTCCCAAGCTCTGGAGGCAGGCTGGCGGGATGACCCTGCAAGTCCATGGCGGGTTGGCGGGATGACCCTGCAGGTCCATGGCAGGAGGTGGGATGACCCTGCAGGTCCATGGCGGGAGGCGGGCTGGCGGGATGACCCTGCGGGTCCATGGCGGGTTGGCGGGATGACCCTGCAGGTCCATGGCGGGTTGGCGGGATGACCCTGCAGGTCCATGGCAGGAGGTGGGATGACCCTGCGGGTCCATGGCGGGAGGCGGGCTGGCGGGATGACCCTGCAGGTCCATGGCGGGAGGTGGGATGACCCTGCAGGTCCATGGCGGGAGGTGGGATGACCCTGCGGGTCCATGGCGGGAGGCGGGCTGGC